GTCTCGAATTCTCCCAACCTCCCCTCGTGTTGCTATCAGGCTATGTAAACACGGAAAAAGTTTTCTATTGCTTAATCGGGTTATCCATAACAGTAAATGTATTTGGTAATCATGTATTTGAATTATACATGAAGTACCAACCTTTTCGGTCACGCAGGGACTGGAAAATGCCCTTTGGGAAAACAGTATTCGAAATATTACCCTAGGTTACCTTGGGTTCCAGAAACTCTCTCGCTCCAGTGCTTCTCGGTCATAAAAATATGTATAGGAAATCACACGATCTCGAGTACAATTCGGAATTTATGGGAACGAGTGTTGTTTTGTAAGTTTTCAAAATTGGACGAGCTTTTTAGGCGACTCCAATTTGAGAACTTTCAAATCATCACTAGTATCTATAAATTCCGAATTGTACGAGAACACTGCGCGGTTTTTTGTTTATAATAGACTCAACAAAATTGAGGAATTTAAATGGGACTCTACAGATTACAATTAGGGATTTAATTGTACTCCTCTTGTTCAATGATTCTATGATTTTGTTTATTGTATTATAAAGCAATGCATTCAACAAATAAAACAGCTTCTTCCGAGCTCCAGTAATAAAGCACGCAGGGAGTGACGTAAGCACGAAAGAAGTGTAAGGAGAAGCACGAGCCGTAGGTGACTCGCCTCTCACACTTCTTGAGTGTTTACGGCGCTTTCCACTCAAGAAGTGTGAGAGGAGAATAATCAATTTTATGAATTTTATCAAAAATCAAAATAAAACAAAAAATCATAGCAATGAATGATTATACCCATCTTGAAGCTCGTGTTCTGGTATCATGGCCCGTCTACACGAGTGAAAAACGTCTGCGCATGCTCTGAATCCGTATGCAAATGAGTCAAAACTAAGTAAATTTGACTTTCAAACATGCCTGATAAATTGGACTTCACAAAATGCCAAAACGTGGTCTCCATGCTTGAAACTTAAGGCTAATTCTTTCATATTGTGTTTGCTAATACAGTATCTTGGTCTGACAAAAGTATACTCTCGAACTTTTTCGTATACTTGGAGAAAACAAACATTTATTTTCTCACTCAAACTCTTCAAAATTCTTAGAAAACGTGCTGAAGTGCACGAATGCGCAAACGTTTTTCTCTAGTGTCGGCCCGTCAAGTTCCTAAATACTTGGATGCGCACGCAATGCATTAACATTAACACACATTAACATTAACATACTCCTGTTCACAAAGAAGTTTTAAATGTTTTTGCGCTTCTCAAGGCTTCAAGTTTCATGTTGCTTAGCTCATCCCGTAATTCCCTAGTAAACACAAAAGTATTCAATCAGAATATACGGATTAAATTCTATCGTTAATACATGAAATGATGTCCAACTGACGAGTTCTCGTGAGGGAGAAGAGTTACTTATCATTGGCTTCTGATTATTATTTTCCTTTGATTTTTTCTTTCTTTCTTACTTACTTTTTTTCCGTCTCTCTCTTTCTTTTTTCTATTTTTCTTTCTTACCCCCTTTCATTTCTTTTTTACAGTGAAAAAAAATATGAGTGCTTCGAAATTCTGTTATGAATAATTAGTTTAGATTTTCAAATTTTCTGTTGAAATGATTTCGTCGGAAAATGATTTCAATAGTTTCATTTTTATTTGCGTTTACGAACGCACGACGAAAGGATAAAACACATAGAAAATGAATAAAAGGAATAAAATTAAGAAAGAAACAGAGGGAGAGAGAGAAGAGAAGAGCACAGCAAAGCAACAGCAAAGCAGAGCAGAATTTCATTGTCTTTTCCTTTCCTCATTTTTAAATTCTCATTAATTTCGCATTTCTTTTCTCCATAAAGCGATATTTTTTTCTAAAGCAAAACATTCATTGATCAGAAATTACTCTTTAAAAGACCATTGAAGCTGATTCCTGAGCCCGAATTATGATTTTAACACGTAAGATATAATTTTGAATACTTGAACAATCTTTGCTTAACATAGTTATCTTAATAAATGATTTTTCTTTCATTTTCCTGAATTAAAAGCAAAGAAAAAAAATTTTTTTTCTAGTCGACGTCAAACGTCTTGACTGAAGTCAGTGAATTTTCTTGAATAAAAGTTTTCCGATGATGTTTCAACTGAACACGATAAAAACACCGCTTTCATTATGAAATACAAACAAATCACAATTTTATAAGCGTTTCTTTTCTTCTGTTTTTCTTTTCAATAAAATAGATTTGTTGTAAAACAATCGAAAAGGTTCAAAACACATGTCAGTTCGCTGCTCAAAAAAGCAAAACGTTTTTCCATTTTTCCTCTGAAAGTTGGTATTTTAATTTGCAAGAGGTAGAAAATAGCATTCTCTTTTTTAAATGCTCTTTAAAGTTTCATTATAGTTTCAAAATTCGATCAAAATTAGCTTAAAATAACAAGTAATTTATCTTAATTCGCATCAGTACAGATTTGCAGTTGTTTTATCTTTGTTCTTTAGTTTGTTATTACAAGAAAAATTGATCCTGTTTCTTCCTGTTCAGCTCTTTGTCTGGGCTCAGAGCTCTGACTTTTCGAGTGTTCTCACACGGTTACTGGGTGATATCTCACACATAGCTTTATCGAGAAGTCGTTGTTTGCGAAGCAACCAAAGCGAACGACAAACACAGATGCTACGTTTTGGGAACAGCGATTTTTCAAATGCAATGTCAACAATATGTTCTCTCTTTTTTAACCCATTGTTGGAGTATAATAGCATATTAATGTGATGCGAAGAGCAATAGACACAAAAAGAGCCGTTCTTCTTTTCTTTATTATTGTCTTCGCCAGTTTAATAAAGAAAACATTACTTTTCGTGTCGTCTGATCTTCCAAGGCTGTCGTTCTGATCTCAAAGATTTCGTCTTTGCATTTCCAGTGCAAAAAAATCTGGCTGTCATTGACGTTGCTTTCTTAAAAGACTAATTCATATTGTGTAGAAAAAGAGAGTTACGTCTTTTGAAGTTCGACAGGTCTTTAAAACTAGGATTAAGTTCCGTCAAAAATTACTCACTAAATCAGACTTGCTTTCTTTCAAGTTTAATTTATGTCGATTAGGAACTAAACTCTATTTTAAAAACTGACATACTTGACTTCGAAACTCTATTTTATTTGAATTTAATTGAATGGAGATTCGACTTGGCTTTCGTAAGGCTATTTCTACAAGGATTAGGATAACAATTATTCTTTTAACACATGCTTTTGCATCGTAACAGAGTGTTGTGTAAATTCTTCCCAAAAGGAAGGAATTATGCCAAATTTTTGTCTTCAAGTGAATATGTCTTATCTCTCATCGTTAGATTATTGCGTTATTTTAATGTTTCGCTTTTAAATAGGGTTCTCTCCGCGGCGGCTGAGATTTAAAACCGATAGCGGGAATTGTCGGTAGTTTTGATTTATAAACCCAGTAAGATTTCGTGACTGATAAAAGCATTGAATTGTAATTCTTTTTCCTTGTGAGTTTAATTGTTTTCTGTGTGAGTAGAAAGCGAGTGATTTAGCAATAACTATGGCGTCTCGATCTTTTTTGGTCGGTATACAGTGCGCTTTTAAACTAGTTTACATTAGGTGAATGTGATATTTTAACGCCTTCACAAACAATGATCGAAGAAAAGATCAGAAAAGGGAGCGAAAAGCATTCGAGAGGAAAATATTGAAGAGAATAAAATTAGAATTAAGATGGATAATTTCATAAATAGAACAGCAACACAGTTTCAAAAGTTAAAATTTGGAGGCCAAATAAAATTTGCTGCGAAATACTAATAAATATTTTAGAAATTGATAAAAAGGAAAACCTGCAAAGAATGCCGTATGAAAAATCAAGTTTTTAATTTAATAAATAAGTTTGCAACTTCAAAAGCATTTAATTCAATTATTTGCTACATACTTTGGTACAATCTTGTACGTGACTGAGACGGAAGTTATAAAAGGGGGATTTCTCTTAACTAGGGGTAAGAATGTTAAGAATGTTAATTTTTTTGTAACCATTTTAATTCTTTTAGGATAATCCCGTATTATTTTGTTAGAGAATCGATAAATTAATGGCATAAATAATACATTTTGATATCAATCAAATTTATTTATGTCCTTTCTTAAAATCATGTAATTTTTAATTTGAATTTTCGAACGCTTTAGGATGTTTTTTATTTTATTTTTATTTTATTTCTTATCTTTATTTTTATTT